ATATATATGTATGTATGTATGTATGTTGGGCAATCCTACTTCCGTAGTGATACTGCCTCGGAAACCCAAGGAGGGGTTGCTATGAGTCGGGGCCGACTCGACAGCATGTAACAACAACAACAAATGGATGTATGCATATATATATATATACATATATATGTATATTTTAGGTAGCATCACGATAAATGGAGAAAAGATTGAAGTTGTCAAGGATTTCATATTACTAGGTTCCACAATCAATACCAATGAAAGCAGCAATCAAGACATCAGACGACATGTTGCTGCACTGGGCATATTGGCTGCAAAAGACCTCTTTAAAGTGCTGAAGAGCAAAGACGTCTTCTTGAAGACTAAGGTACGTCTAACCCAAACCGAAAAAACAAAACAAAACTCACTGCCTTCGAGTTGGATCCGACTTGGGTTTCTGAGGCAGTATCACTACGGAAATAGATTGCCCAGTCTTCCTTCCCAGGAGTGGCTGGTGGATATGAACCACCAACCTTCTGGTTAGCTGTCAAATGCCTTAGGCATTACACACCAGACTCCTGCATCTAACCCAAACCTAGGTATTTTCAGTCATCTCATATACATGGGAAAGCTGGATAGTGAATAAGGAAGACTAAAGAAGAGTTGATGCTTTCCAGTTGTGGTGTTGGCGAAGAATACTGAAAGTACTGCCAGAAGAACTAATAAATCTGTCCTGGAAGGAGTGGGCCAGAATGCTCCTTGGAAGCGAGAATGGCCAGACTTCATCTCACCTATTTTGGTCAGGTTGTCAGAAGGGACCATTCCCTGGAGAAGGATGTCATGCTGGGCAAAGTGGAGGGCCAGGGACAAACAGGAAGGCCTTCAACGAGGTGGACTGACACAGTGGCTACAACCACGGGCTCGGACATTGCAAGGATTGTGAGGCTGGCACAGGGCCGGGCAGTGCTTCGTTCTGCGGGCACAGGGTCGCTGTGAGTGGGAGACAGCTCAGAGCACCTAACAACATCCAATTCATGCTGTGCAAATACTTCCTCCCATTCTCTGGGCTGTCTTTTCACTTCCGTGAAGGTGTCCTTTGCATTCTATGGGTTATCGAGTGCCGTGGATTACTCTGGTGGAAAGAGAGGGGGAAAACAAAGATTCCTGCGACCTGGAACAGAGTTTTCTAACAGAGCTGGAGGCTGTGCCCTTCGGAGTTTGCATAACAGACCTCTCTCCACCCGAGAGGGGGTTTGGCTTCAGGATAGGGCGGCACAGCTTGGAACTGTATTTGAAGAATCCTCCCCGAAGGGTTTATTTATTTTTCAGTTTTTGTCTTCTTGAAGTTACCAGAAGTAACACCTACTCTTTTTACAGAGCCCAACTTAGTCACTTCCTCAGAGAAGCCCGGGTCAGTCTTTACAGTCTCTCAGTGGCCCCTACACTTCCCACTCACGGCGTGCCTCAGTTTATAACAGTATGGAGTAATGCGTACTGGAGTAATTTCTGTTTCCCGTCTTCCTACCGAACTAGGCAGTTAGGCACCCCTTCTCGAAATACCCACTTAAGACCGTGGCCCCTCGCCGCCGGGTGCTGGGCCGCTCCACGCATTATATCCTCACGCTGCGTGCTCAGCGGCGGAGGAGCCACGGACGCAGCGCCTAGTCCTGCACCGGAGGCTCGGAGGAGCGCGCAAGCCCAGGGCGCTGCGTGGCGGCTGCAGCAGCGGGGACCGCCACCGGGGGGCGTCCACCTGCGCGCCGCCGGCCGCTGCCCCGCCCCGCCGCCCGTTTCTGCCCCGGCCCCAGCCGCAGCTCCAGCCCCAGCTCCGTTCGACTCTGGTCCGAATCGACACCCGCACGCTGGTCGCTGCCGCTGCCCCAGTCGCAGTCGCTGCCGCTTGCTCGCGCGCTCTGGGTCCGCGCCGCTCGCGCCTCCGCATCGTTCCAGCGTCCTCGCGCGCCCCAGGATCGTTGCTGCAGCCCCCGCGCCCCGGGGTCTAGGCATCCGCCCCGTGCGGCCCCCGCTGTCTCACCGGAGCGCCGGCCCGCGCGCCCCGCTCGCCGCTCCCCGGCACGCTCGGGGGGCCCGTCCGCCCTGCACCCTGGAGCGCCGGGCCGCAAGCCTCTGCAAACTCCTCTGGCTCCTCGCGGCCGTGTGCAACAGCTGCCGCGCCTGCCCACCCGACGGAGGTAGGTGCGGGCCGCCGCGGCCAGGTAGGCCTAGGGCGGCGCGGGTGCGGAGTGCGGGGCCGTTTTTCCTCGGATCGGTCCACTCTCTGGACTCAGTGTTTGTTTCTGTAAAATGGGGGAGTCGTGCAGATGAACGGCGAGCTCCTTGACTAAGAAAGCTCTTGGCCCCGAAGGGCAGCGTTCCTGCTGCAGGAGGTCGCTCAGGGGCCTCCGCCCGGCGCCGCCGCGGTCCCGGACGGTGGGCGCGGTGCTGCCTTCCGTTCTCCTGCTGGGACGGGCGCGAGAGCCCCCACTGTGTGCCCTGAACCCGCGGCCTGCGTCGGCCGGAATTCCCGGAGCTTTGAGAACCGTGTAGACGCGCCCTTGCTGCGTTGTTGGCTGGGGGTGTTGGGGTGTTGGCAGGCGCCGCAGACATGTGCGCCAAGGGGCTGACAAATGCGCCGCGGGGGTGGAGGCCCCCGGGGTAAGTCCCGCCTAGATCGGTCTGCGCCGGCGCGGGGGAGAGCGCGGAACCGGCCCAGCGGCGCTCTGAGCGTGAAAGTAAAGCTGCACCAAGTGGCGGGAGTGGGGCGAGAGGTGCCCGGGGGAACCGTCTCTAGGAACCTGACTTCGGAGACCTGGGCGCTCCCTGCCTTGGGTCCACTCAGCTGGGAAAACAGGACAGAAATAGCCACAAGCAGGAAACGGCTAGAGTCTTGGGTTTGAATTCCGAGGATCACTTAACGATTGTAGGACCTTGGACATGTTGATTAACCTCTTTGACCGCTGGTATCGTCGTCTCTAATGTGAGTACAACATTAGCACCTACCTCTTCCTGTTCTTTGGAAATGAGTTAATTAATAAACGTTAGGGGCTTAGACTCACTCATAGCGGTCGAGTTGATTCGACTCACAGCGACCTCTCCTTGGGTTTCCGAGGCGGTATCACTACGGAAGTAGATTGCCCAATCGTCCTTCCAGGGAGTGGCTGGTGGGTTTGAACTGCCTTCTCGTTAGCAGTCAAATGCCTTAGGCACTAGGCCACGTACTTAGTGAGTGTGTGAAGGCTGTGGTCGCTGGGTGGCACCTAATGGCAGAGACTACTGGACAGGCTGTAGAGTCGCAGGGAATTGAGTAACGTAATCCACCTCTGATTTTACAGAAGAAGGAAACTGAGGCCCAGAGTGGTCCACAGACCTCCCGAAGCGCCCTTTAAGTGGGAGACAGCCGTGTAAACAGCAGACTCTAACAGGCAAGCTGGACTAAGTACTGGAACACAGAGCAGGGAATTGGAGGCTGATAATACCCGCTCTGTGTGTGTGTGTGTGTGTGTGTTGTGTGTGTGTATGTAGGGAGTATCAGGGAAAGCTTCTTGGAGAAGGTGATGTTTAAGCTGAGTCAGGAAGGCTCCCGATGGAAGGGGGTAGAATTTGGAGAAGTAGAAGTTTGCTGATGTCTTCCTCCTCTGTGGTCTCCGTAACACCTGGCATTCATTCATTTGTCCATTTATTAGTTCAGCTAATACAGTAACGCCTCTTGATGGCATGAATTCAAGAAATCACCGTTACTAAGTTGAAGTCAGTGAAATTTGTTGCAGGAGTTGTTCAGCAGCTAGTTGGCATAAGTGGTCAAGTGCTCAGCTGCTAACCAAAAGGTATGTGGTATGCTCTGTGGGAAACATACACAGTCTACTTCCATAAAGGTTACAGCTGTGGAAACCAGGGAAGTTCTGCTCTGTACTACAGGATTGCTATGAGTCAGAATCCACTTGATGGCAGTAGGTTTTTTTCCCTTTCTTTTTTTAATTAAGTAAATTTACTGTAGCACATAACCATGGGTAGATCAGATTGCAAATCGGTTTTATTGTTAAGAAATAGTGAGAAAGCACCTGTGGCTTCCAGCCAAGCGAAACACAGGCATAGGAGTTGAACATTTACCTGAGGCAGATACACTCCTTGGGGAGAACAATCATTGGAGAAAGAAGGGCTGTGTATGCACAGGGAGACAGCTTAGAGGGCAGGAGTGCATGGAGGGATGGACACAGGGAAGAGGTGACTGTCGGGAGGAAGTGGCAGGGGGGCTGTTGTATTGTGGTAAATTGTGGTCAATGTCATGAGACAATGTGTGTGAACTGCTGTATGGAAAGTGAATTTGCTTTGTAAATTTTCACCCAAATCACAATAAAAAAAAAAAAAAAAGAAATAGTGAGAAAGGAAATGTGCTGGATTATTTCAAGAGTGGAAAATAGCAAACTCCTCTGGTCAGAGGTCTCCTTGTCAGAGAGTACCCTTAAGGGAGTGGGAGAGAAGAACTGCTGTGTGGTTTCTTAAACTGGTTCTTTCTTTCTGGAACCTTCTAGAATCTTCTCTATCTCCCAGTGTTGTGAAATTTCAAGGTGACGATTCTCAGTTGTGGGTTGTCATGTGTTGTGCTGGAAATACGGGCCCTTTCTGAGTAGAAAGGCATGTCCTTCAGTTCTGAGAAACATGAAATTTTTCAAACAAATTTCCTCACTTCCGTTTCCTCTCTTCTCTGCTGGTGTTCAGATGTTAGACCCCTGGACTGGTCCTCTAGCATTCTTTATGGTTTATCTCCTGTTTTCTATCCTCTTTGTCTTCTTACTCTACTTCCTAGGAGGTTCCTCAGCCTTCTATGAAAGTTTTCAGTTCTGTAAAGATGCAGTTTACAAGTACTCTCTTGTGGCGTTTGAAAAAATAGCGTCTCGTTTACTTCATGGATGAAGTAACTTCTCTCTCTGTAGAGACCAGTGTTTTCCTTGTTTTCAGGTTTCTTCCTGCACATTCTCAGCTTGTTCTGTGTTGCCTCCTTCTGCTGGATCATTTTGGGCGCTGGACAAGAATGTATGTTGTGCTGCTCTTGGGTGAAGTGCTCTGTAGATGTCTATGAGGCCAAGTGGTGAATTGTATTGTTTAGTTCTGCGTCTTTGTTGAGTTTCTTTCCACTTGTTCTATCTTTGATTGAAAGCGGTGTATTAAAGTCTCCTCCTGTGACTGTGGAGTCATCTATTTCTCTTTTCAATTCTGTTAGAGTCTGGTTATGTATTTTGGGGCTCTTTCATTGGGTGCATAGACATTTATTACTGTTATGTCCTCTTGTTCAGTTGATTCCTTAATCATTATATAATATCCTTCCTTGTCTGTCTTTTTTTTAAAGTACATGTTATTGAAGTATGATTTATGTACAGTGAAATGCACAAAACTAAAGTGACATGGGTCAATGCATTTTTTTTTTTTTTTGCAGTGTTCCCTCCCACGCTGGTAACCAACAAAGAAAGTTTCCTTCCATATATAAACCTTTCCTTGACTTTTTACAATAATGAACTAATACTATATTTGTCCTTCTGTGATGGATTTATTTCACTCAGCATAATGTCCTCCAAGTTCATCCATGTTATGCAGATTCTGCATTTTCTTTAGTGTTGCATAGTACTCCATTGTGTATGTGTACCACAGTTTGGTTATCCATTCTTCAGTTGATGGGCACCTAGGTTGTTTCCATCTTTTTGCTATTATAAGTAATGCTGCAGTGAACATGGGTGTGCATGTATCTGTTCTTGTCGTGGCTCCCGCTTCTTCAGGATATATACCTAGTAATGGAATTGCTGAGTCAAATGGTATCTAATTCCAGTTTTTAAGGAATCGCCATACTGTTTTCTACACCAGCATTGTATGAGAGTCCCCATCTGTTTTGATTATCTAGTGCCTCTCTGACAAGAATATACCACAAATGGGATTGCCTTAACAAACAGGAGTTTATTATCTTACAGTTTGGAGGCTTTAAGTCCAAGTTCAAAGTGCCGGGCTTTATGGGCTGGGTGAAAGCCCCTCAGCCTTGGACTTCAGCTCTGCCTCCTGCTCCCAGCCCACTGAAACTTGAGGCTTTTCCTCACTCAGACAACTGCTGGCTGCTGAGGCTGCCAAGCCTAAGTTTGACAAGTAAAAAGGCACAGTCCCGATATTACCAAATCACACGGCAGGCCATTAATTCAACTCCATTGTGAGTCCCGAGGTTGTCAGAGCATGGCAGGCTGCTGAACAACAACACGGCTACTTGCAGGGTTCAAGGTGCCATAAGCTAGACACCATTCCCAAGTCGTCTCCTTATATACAGGAAGCAGACCATATCCCAAAGGCAGCTACTCAGCTGCTTGTGGTAGATTCACCATGGAGTTGATTGCCAGTCTCATCATGGAGGATAACTACCACCAGCTGCCCAGCCACTCAACCAGGCCCAGCCAAGTTGACACCCGAGCATAACCACCACACCATCTCTCCACATCCTTGCCAGCATTTGTTATTTTCTGTCTTGTTGAACTTTACCTTTAGTGCTGGGGTGAGATGGTATCTCGTTGTTGTTTTGATTTGCATCTCTGTGATGGTTAATGAGCATGAGCATTTCTTCATGTATTTGCTGGCCCCCTGAGTATCCTCTTTGCTGAAGTGTCTATTCATGTCTTCTGCCCATTTTTTAATTCCTTCCTTGTGTCTAATGGTGGTTTTTGTGTTAATTTTATCAGGAATTGTATTGCCACTTCTGCTTTTTTGTGGTTGCCCTTGGTGTGATGTATCTTTTTCCAATCTTTGATTTTTAGGCTATTTTTGTCTTTGTCTCTAAGGTGTGTCTCTTGTAGACAGCATATTCATGGATTATGTTTTCTTATCCAGTCTGCAACTCTCCATCTCTTGAGTAGTGCATTTAATCCATTCACATTCAATGTAGTTATCGACAAGTATGAATTGGTTGCTGTCATTTTGTTATGTGCTTTTTTGTGGTCTTGCTGGTTTCTTTGTTCCATATAATTTCTCTCCTGAGCTCGTTTTCTTTATGCATTGTGTTATCATTTCCGTTGTTGCTATTGTTTAAATATTTGCTAAATAGTTGTGTTTGTTCTCTTTTTTATTTTGATGTGAAGGTTTATCATTTTTCTTTGAGGTTACCCTGTGATTTATAATTTTCTTCCCAAAGAACGGTCTGTTCTATCTTGCAGTTGTCTTGACTTCCTCACCATTTAGAAGTTCTGTAACTACACAGACCTTCCCCTCTTTTTCGTTTGTAGTCGTCCTCATTTGCAGTTGATGTCTCTGGGTTCCCTGTTGACAATCTTTTAGGCTTCTTTACTTTGGATACTTCCATAACTGGGTTGGTTTCTGGGTTATGTCATCATGTGTTAATGGTCAGGTTTTTTTTTCTTCTTTTTGCTCTTGTTGGTTCTCTGTCCCAAGGACTCTTTAATATCTCTTGTAAAGTTCCTTTGGTTGTAGCAAATTCCATTAATTTCTGCATATCTGGAAATGTCCCAATTTCACCATGGTATCTGAGGGCCAGTTTTGCCAGGTATATAATTCTTGCTTGGAAATTTTTTCTTTCAGAGTTTTATATGTACCGTCCCATTGCTTTCTTGCCTATGTAGTTTCTGCCGAGAAATCAGAGCTTATTCTTACTGGTTGTCCTTTGTAGGTAACTTTTCGTTTTTCTTGTGCTGCTTTCAGGATTCTTTCTTCGCCTTTGGTTTTGGTGAGTTTGATGATGATGTGTCTGGGT